ATTCCTGACTGGCGAATGCTCTGGACCTTCGATGAGCGTTTCCTGAATCAATTTGGTAAAGGGGAGCTAAGACCTTTCAAGAGTTTTTCACTCTATCCGCCTTCCTATGTGCATGACGTCAGCTTCTGGGTTCCTGAGCGGGAGCAGTTTGATGAGACTGCGTTTCACACCGTTGCTAGGCGGGTGTCACAGGAAACTGTTGTGTCCATCGAGTTGCTCGATACCTTTCGGCATCCGCAGACCGGACAGACCAGCCTCTGCTACAGGCTGACTTTCCAGTCCTGCGACAAGGCTCTCACTCACCAGCAGGTGGCAGAGATGCAGCTGCAGTTCAGGAAGGAGATACAGCAGTGCTTGCATGTAACGCTTAGATAATTATTAGACATTCGTTAACAGCAACCTTAATTCATTTTGTTGTGAGAAATATGGGTTCCATGTTGCGTGATCCCTTAATACTGTGTGGTGTTGCTTTTTTGTTGCCAAATTATGCCTCTTGTAAAGGCAGTATAGATTTAATTTAAAATGTGTTATACACATCATTTTAATTCTGTTATCAGAGATAATACAGTCTAGCTGCCTTCCCCATATCTAACTTGAAATGTCGGGTCATGGTCGGCTTTTATTGTACCAGATTCCTATAAGCAAGAATCACTCTGAGGTCCACCTTTCTTACGTATGCAGAGGTGGGTTAGAGTTAACAGGTTAGCTCGTTCATTGTTACTTGATTATATTCATCCCGGAATATTTATTGATGGATTTTATATCATTGATCATCCTATATCAGTCAACATATGAAAATGTAAAGATTACCAATTGCTCTTGTAAAGTGTTTAAATAAACTTTTTATACGACAAGCAATGGAGCCTTGGCTGGTCTCGTTCTTTCCTTGGCGTGAATAATACACACTGGAGTACAAGAGTGCCCCCAGGTTTTTCTTCTGCCGTTTTTTCCTAAGGAAAAGCAATAGTCGCTTAGGCTGCGTCGTGCCAGGCAAGTGAAGAGTTCTCAGCTCGGATCTCTTGAGCCTGTTGCTGTCTCTAGCGGTGCAGTCAAGGGCTGGAAGGGATTGGAAACCCAACTCCCTGCGTCACAGCTCTGCTTGCTGCTACGTCTAGCGCACGTGAAAAAGCTTAGGAGATGAGAGTTTGGGCAAATTGCTGCTTACAAGCATTACAGGAGCCCGGCCTGGAGCTAGGGCAGAATCGGTCCTGCCCAAGGTCCTCGATACAGCCCCCTTCCCTGCCGCAGCTGGACGTCTCGCAGCGTTCAGTGCTGTGTGCCGGGGTCGGAGCTGCTCGCCTTCCTCTCGGGAGCCTCCTCCCCGCGGGGTTTCCAGGCTCAGGAGGAGGGGCCGTGCTCCCCACCCAGCTTGGCGGGCGCGGGTTGGGGTTGCAGCGAATTCTCACCACATTTTTCCCGTGAATAATACACACTGGAGTACAAGAGTGCCCCCAGGTTTTTCTTCTGCCGTTTTTTCCTAAGGAAAAGCAATAGTCGCTTAGGCTGCGTCGTGCCAGGCAAGTGAAGAGTTCTCAGCTCGGATCTCTTGAGCCTGTTGCTGTCTCTAGCGGTGCAGTCAAGGGCTGGAAGGGATTGGAAACCCAACTCCCTGCGTCACAGCTCTGCTTGCTGCTACGTCTAGCGCACGTGAAAAAGCTTAGGAGATGAGAGTTTGGGCAAATTGCTGCTTACAAGCATTACAGGAGCCCGGCCTGGAGCTAGGGCAGAATCGGTCCTGCCCAAGGTCCTCGATACAGCCCCCTTCCCTGCCGCAGCTGCGGGGTTCGTTGCGGTGTGCCGGGGTCGGAGCTGCTCCCCTTCCTCTCGGGAGCCTCCTCCCCGCGGGGTGTCCAGGCTCAGGAGGAGGGGCCGCGCTCCCCACCCAGCTTGGCGGGTGCGGGTTGGGGTTGCGGCGAATTCTCACCACATTTTTCCTCCTGTTTTTTTTGACACCAAGTTGAATCTGGCCCCAAGCATCTTTAGCCCAGGGAAAGGGGCTTCCTGCTTGCCCCACTGTAAGCAAGCTCAGGGCCTGCCCGCGAGGTGCTGCTCCTCCGCCC